ATGCACGTGCATGTTTGCACAATTCACAATTGCAAAGATGTGGAACCAACTTAAGCGCCCATCGACCAACAAGCAGACAAAGAAAATGTGGTACATATACACCATGGAATACCACTCAGCCACAAAAAGCAACAAAATAATGCCTTTTGCAGCAACTTGGAGGGAGCTGGAGGCCATTATTCTAAGTGAAGTAATTCAGGAATGAAAAACCAAAAATCGTATGTTCTCACTTAAAAGTGAGAGCTGAGCTACATGGATAAAAAGGCCTAAGAATGATATAACTGACGTTGGGGACTCAGAGAGGAAAGGATGGGAGGGGGATGAGGGATAAAAGACTGCATATTAGGTACAGTGTACACTGCTCAGGTGATGGACCCACTAGAATCTCAGAACACATCCGTGAAACCGAAAACCACCTGTACCCAAAAACTATGGAAATAAAAATAAAAATTTAAAAGTAATTATTCCTGGGGATCTGTTTAAAATGCACTCTGCTAATATTCCATGACCCAACTCTTTCACATTCCCATTCAAAACCCTGCGAATACTCAGAAACAGATTTAAAATCTCAAACCATCGCAAAAAAAAATTGCTGGGCATGGTGGCAGGCACCTGTAATCCCAACTATTCAGGAGGCTGAGGTAGGAGAACTGCTTGAACCTGGGAGGTGGAGGCCGCAAAAAGCCAAGATCACCGCACTGCACTTCAGCCTGAGTGACAGAGTGAGACTCTGTCTCAAAAAAAAAAACAAAAACAAAAACTTAAAAACAAAAAAATCCCCCAGAGACAATGACTGTTAACATTCCTGGCTGCCATATTTTCTTCCTGTTCCTGTTCCTTTTCTTATTTTATTTTTAAGTTCAGGTTTTTTTTGTTTGTTTGTTTTGTTTTTGAGATGGAGTTTCAATCTTATTGTACAGACTGGAGTGCAATGGTGTGGTCTCACTGCAACCTCTGCCTCCCAGGTGCAAGCAATTCTCCTGCCTTAGCCTGCTCAGTAGCTGGGATTACAGGCATGTGCCACCACGCCCGGCTAATTTTTTGTATTTTTAGTAGAGACGGGGTTTCTCCATGTTGGTCAGGCTGGTCTCGAACTCCCGACCTCAGGAGATTCACCCTCCTTGGCTTCTCAAAGTGCTGGGATTACAGGCATGAGCCACCGCATCTGGCCCCCTGTTCCTTTTTTTACATGGAGGTAACATTTTCTGCTCCACCTAAGGAAGGTCATGGCCTACACATGATTCTACATTACTATACTGAAATATCATGACAGCCTGGCGTGGTGGCTGATGCCTGTAATCCCAGCACTTTGGGGGGCCAAGGTGGTAGATCTCTTCATATGGGGGTTCGAGACCAGCCTGGCCATCATGGTGAAACCCTATCTCTACTAGATATACAAAAAAATTAGCCAGGTGTGGTGGCACATGCCTGTAGTCTCAGCTACTTGGGAGGCTGAGGCACAAGAATTGCTTCAACCTGGGAGGCAGAGGTTTCAGTGAGCCGAGATTGTGCCACAACACTCCGGCCTGGGTGACACAGTGAGACAAGAAAGAAGAAACAGAGAAAGAGAAAATGCACTATCATGACAGGCATCATCACTCTCATTTCACCAACAGGGAAATTAAGGCCTAGGGTAGGTCAAAGGTCACAGAGCTAAGGAGGGCCAGGACTGAATGTGAATGCAGGTCGCTGAGTCCAAGTTCCAGAATCTCACCACGCAGGAACTTCTTTCGAAGAAGTTCATTCCCTCATTCCTGTACACATTCACTGAAGCATGCCATGGGCCTTGTGGGTCCTGGCCTGTGACAGACCAGGGAGGCAAGAGTAGAGACGTAGTCCTGGAATACCAGAGTATTCCATGGCCAGAGTAGCTGGCTGCAGTCCTGCCGTCAACCAGCTTCCATTCTAAAGGCTTAATGTCTGCAGCCCAGGGCACCCGCTACCCGGCCTGGCCCAGCATGACCGAGTGGGGAAGGTGAGATGCCCCTTCGGAAGGACTCATCACTGCCCTGCTGTCAGCACCTTCAGGGTCCCCTCAGCTCTCCGATCGAGGTCACCCTCTTCCCTGCTGGCCAGTGACTGAGCAAGTGGTATCAGGGCCTTTTCTGTCTAACAGGGGACTCCTCTGTCAGGCACTTAGATCCAGAGCTCCTCTGCTGGTGCCCTCTGCCCAATCCCCTTCTTCCCCATTTTTTTTTTCTTCTTGAGACAGGGTCTTGCTCTGTTGCCCACGCTGGAATGCAGTGGCATGATCATACCTCACTGCAACCTCCAACTCCTGGGCTCAACTGATCCTCACACCTTAGTCTCCCGAGTAGCAGGGAATACAGCCACCATGCCTGGCTATTTTTTTTTTTTTTCTCGTAGAGACAGAGTTTCACTATTTTGCCCAGGCTGGTCTCAAACTCCTGGCCTCAAGAAATCCTCCCACCTCGGCCTCTGCAAGTGCTAGGATTTACAGGCATGAGCCACTATGCGCAGCTCCCTTCCTCCCCTTTGCTCTCCTAACTCCATCTCAGCACCTGCCCCTGAGGACCAATGCAACAGGGCACTCAGTACATCTGTGAACCTCCCATCAGTTCTGTGGTGGACTAACCCGGGGACAATGGTCACTGTCCCCTCTGGTGCATTCTTTGTCCCTATCAGCCTAGTAAGCTCCAGGGTCTGGCAGCTGGCACAGAGGAGGAGGCTGCACTCCCTGACCTTTCTATGCTGCACCCAGTCCTGTGCCCATCCTGTCCTCAGACCTGCCAGGGCCGTGACCAACCTGCCAAAGGTGAGGGAAACTGTGTGACCCTGCTCTAGGAGGAGGTGGAGCAAGCGGAAGGTAGGGGAAGCTGCTGCCCCAGTAGGTTTAGAGGGAGGGTGGGGTGGGGGAGTGGCAAGGCCAGGCAGGTGAGGGTGTGTGGGTGAGGGTGTGTAAGTGTCTGTCTGGCTCTCCTGGGTGGGGTTGGATGAATGTTTGGGCACAGGCAGCGGCTGTCACATGGCCTGGCTGCGGGTTTGGGACAGAAGCCAGGTAGGTGGGCTGTGTCAGGCACAGCTACAAACTGTGCCAAGGAAGTGGCCAGAGCAGGGGCCCGGGGAAACTCCTGCCTTGGCAGAAGATGCTGGGGACATGGGATGATTTGGGGAGGTCTTCCAAGGCCCATGGTGCTTCATGGAGCCAGGGCCCAGGGCAGGGAGGGCTGTAACCCTGGCTTGCGTGATTGGCTGAGCACAGACAGATGGAAGGGGGTGTGAGCAGCCTGCTAGGTGGATGCCTAAGTGAGGGGGGAATGGGTGACCAGGTGATTGAGACCCCCAAGACCAGGACCCCACTGTCAGGCCTGTGGCTTCCATACACCTGTGGGAAGTGTTCCCCTTTGAGCACTGAGGCCATCATCTTCAGCTTCACACCCTTTTCCAGACAAAGTCCCTCAGGTAACCTCAAAAGTCATTTGTCCTGGCCTTTCCCGGAGGGGAAAGGAGAGGGGTGCCTGTGGGCAAGTGACCCTCAGCGCTGGTGGAGGGTGCAGCACAGAGACTGCCTGCATGTGGGAGGCCCGCAGCAGACCTTGCCCAGACATCAGCCCTCGTTTGAGGCAAATTGCAAAAGTACTACAATTTAGGCCAGGCACAGGGCCCATGCCTGTAATCCTAGCACTTTGGGAGGCCATGGCAGGAGGATCTCTTGAGCCCCAGAGTTTGAACCTGCTGTAAGTTATGACTACACTACGGCACTTCAACCTGGGCAACAGAGGAAGACCCTGTCTCTAAAATAAATAAATAGGCTGGGTGTGGTGGCTCACACCTGTAATCCCAACACTTTGGGAGGCCAAGCCAGGTGGATCACCTGAGTTCAGGAGTTTGAGATCAGCATGACCAATATGGTGAAACTTCGTCTCTATTGAAAACACAAAAATTAGCCAGGCATGGTGGTGCGTGCCTGTAATCCCAGCTACTCAGGAGACTGAGGCAGGAGAATCACTTGAACCCGGGAGGAAGAGGTTGCAGTGAGCAGAGATCGTGCCACTGCACTCCAGCCTGGCCGACAGAGCAAGACTCCACCTCAAAAAAAAAAAAAAAAAAAAGATGGGAAAGCTATGTTCTTAACATTTTTGAAATGATAATTCATACTAAAAAATGTTACCAATACTAATGCACAAAGCATTTTATAAGTTTTAGACTATTAATAAAAAATAAGACACTAAAACTGAATTTAAGTATTTGTAACCATGCTTAACATTGCTAACTTTGTATACCTGTGATGTAGCAACTAATTATACAAAAATTTAATAAATGACAAAATAAAATTTTGCAAACAGATTTGTAATAACCAGAAACAAATCTGTAATTGGCAATTAATGTAACATCATAAAAGTAATTTGTTATGGTCATCTGCTAAATGCTAATTAATGTAAAATCTTAAAAGATTATCTTAATTATGATATCTTAATTTTACTGGTTTCAAATATTATAAATATAATAAGGGGTTTCTAAATTTAAAAGAATGACTAAATTTTTCAGCATTAGTTCATGTTTCTTGTTGTACAATATAAGAACACCTTTCCTGTTAGATCAGGAACCCTCCCTTATTATCCCACTGAAAGGAGAATGCTGGATGGTGCTAGAAAGAAGACAGTCTAACGTCTCCAGAACTGAAGGAATTGTTTTGTGGCTATGCATGGCACTTCCATAACTCAACTGAAAAAAGAGACAAAAACCTAGCGTTTTCTACCTTCAAGCTAGCAAGAAAACACAGCCCAGTTAAGCTGTTTCTTCCACAATGGAGCGGGAGTCTATCCAACAAGAGGCGACCATTCCGCCATGACCTTAGGGTGGAACTGTTCGGAAGTCTGCTAACAATAAGGAGCCAACATAGACACATTCTTTCTCTAGTAAATCTAAAATTCCCTTTTCCCCCAGAGGCACTAGGGTGCCTGAGGGACATGCAGAAAAAGTGACCCCAACCACACCATGCAAACTAGCCAGGAAACCTTTTGTCTTCACAGATCTGAGAGTTCCTGAGAACCCGGAGACAACACAGAGGCAGCAGGACACCAACAGAAGAGTCCCAGCATCAGTTCCTGGCCATAGAAGCCCTCCCGAGCAGCAGGCAGGACAGAACCCCCTTCAGCAATCAGCCCGCCAGAGAAGCCTCTGCCCCTGTGGCCTGAGGATCCACTTCCCCCAGGTGACACCATGGGCAGGTGGGCTGAAGAAGTGGGAAGGTCAAATCAACTGGCCCAGCCAGGATACCTGTTTGATGACACAGGTGATACAGGTCTAAGCCTCCTCTCTTCCACAGGAGGAACTAGGTGGCCCAGAGGCTGTCCAGAGGTGGGGCTCTGCCACAGCAGCCATCTTCCTGAGAGGTTCCCTTTATTCCCCTTGGTGAACTCCCTCCAACACACACCTTACCAGGAAAGCACCCTTTGCCTTGCATGGGAAGGGGATCCTCCCACACCAAAACCCAGCCAAAGAAGCCTTTTGTTCCTTAAGGGATAAGTTATCAAAACGAAAAACAAGCAAAAAGATACACAAATAGTCACCCCCTAAATTCTGTTAAGAATGAGACAGTGCTGCCACTCACTCCTGGCTCAGGCACCAGCAAGAGGAGGGCACCCTCCGGAGACTGCAGAAGAATGGAGAGGACTCCTCCTTGCCCTGGCTGCACCTCCACCATTGTCACTGAGGCCTGCGGTACCAAACAGAACCAGCAGCTTCCTATCTACCCTAGGAAGGGCCAGGCCCCAAAGCGCTCCTACTCCCCAGGTAGTAGACTGTGCTGAGATATGGTTTTTTCTGTACTCATTTTTTGAATTTTTATTATGAAGGAATGTTGAATTTTTTTCAGCATCCACAGAAATGATTTTATGGGTTTTTTTTCTTGATTCACTGAATGTGATGTAGCACATTTATTTATTTGTGTTTATTGAATCATCCTCATATTCCTCAGATGAATCCCACCTGATCATGGCAGATGATCTTTTTATTGTCTTGTCAAATGCACTTTTCAAGTATTTTACTGAGGATTTGTTGCATCTATGTTCGTCAGGAATATTTCCCTGTGGTTTTCTTTCTGTGTTGTGTTTTGGTCTGCTTTTTGTACCAAGGTAATGCTGGCCTCATAGAACAAGTTTGGAAGTATTCCTTCCTCTTCATTTTTTGGGGAACTATTTTGAGTAAAATTGGTATTAGCTGTTTTAAAAACATTTGGTTGAATTCAGCAGTAAAACCATGATTCTTGTGTGTTTCTTTGACTGAAGACTTTTTTACTGCTTTAATTGCATTACTCATTATTGGTCTGTTCAGGTTTTTTGTTTTTCTGTCATTCTGTCCACTCCAGCCCAGGGATGCAGGGGAGGCCCCAGAAAGTGACCACACCAGCTGCTGCCCTTCTCCGTGGCCATTGACACATCTGGTTCATCTCAGCATCCCCAGGTGTTACGAGGAGGGCGGCATGTAGCCAGCCCAGGCCTGGGAATGCATCAACACAGGGCCCCTGGTGAGTCCAGAGCTGGGGCTGCAGCTAGAACTTCAGGGCAAGAGAGACCCCATGTCCCTCACTTCCTGGTCCCAATCCTGAGCTTCCAGGAGTGGGGCCACAGTGGGCACCCGTGAGAGGCTGGTGGCATGGGAGGGCTGTGCATTCTGCTGAAGCACCCTGTCCCCACTGCTGTGCTGTCTGACAGGCCCCTGTCTCTCTTCTTGCTCCCAGGTGATAGCTGTGGTCATGGACATGTTCACCGATGTGGACATCTTCAAGGACCTGCTGGACGCCGGCTTCAAGAGGAAAGCGGTTGTGTACATCATCGCAGACAAGAGTAAAGTCAAGTACTTTCTGCACATGTTTGAGCGGACTCACATGCACCTGGGGCACCTCAAGGTGAGCAGGCTCCTCACTTGCGTATGTGACCGGATGGCAGGGGTCATTCAGTCTATCAAACACTGCGAGTACCCACCTGCTCTGGACGGACTCCTGTGCCAGGCACTCAAAGAGTCCAGTAATCCTAGAGCCTCTGCTTGATTTCCCTGAGGGATGGGATACTCATCATCTCTGATGGGACAAAGATAAGATAAACATTGATGAGGTGCTTGCTGACCAGGTGCTGGAGCTCATGCCAAGTGCTGCATCATATGTTATTTCAGAGCAGCCCATGCCACATTGGTTCCCCGTCTGCTTGCATACCTCTGGTCATAGTGCGCTCACTACATCCTCAGGTAGTTCATGGCCTGTCTGGAGAGCCTCAGTTCCCAGGAAGTCCTTTCTTGGGTTAAGCCAAAACCTGTCTCCTTAGAATGTCCATTTACTGGTTTTAGGATCTGGCTCAGACAGAGGAAGCTCCCCCTCAAGCTGAGGCCAGGGAAGGCTTCCCTGATGTCTGCACAGTTGAAGTAGGTTTGAGGCACAAGAGCAGAGTAGAACCTTTAGGGTGGGGAGAAACCACGGAACAGAGGTGGATCAGAGACGGCTGCCAGTGGGGTCAAAGTGGGCTGCAGGTCCCCAGCACTGCTTTACTGTGTGTCCCTGGGCATTTCACCTCCTCTTTCTGGGCTATACAAGATCTCATTGGTCCAACTGTCTTCTGCCCAGACACCCTGGCATTTGGTGTCTGGCTAATTTTTTTTTATATACGGAGTCTTGCTCTGTCGCCCAGGCTGGAGTGCAGTGGTGCGATCTTGGCTCACTGCAACCTCTGCCTCCTGGGTTCAAGCAATTCTCCTGCCTCAGCCTCCTAAGCAGCTGGGACTACAGGCGCACACCACTACGCCCAGCTGATTTTTGTATTTTCAGTAGAGACGGGCGTTCACCATATTGGCCAGGCTGGTCTCGAACTCCTGACCTCGTGATCCACCCGCCTCAGCCTCCCAAAGTACTGGGATTACAGGCGTGAGCCACCGTGCCTGGCTAGTGTCTGGCTAATTTTTTTGTATTTTTAGTAGAGACAGAGTTTCACCATGTTGGGCAGGCTGGTTTTGAACTCCTGACGTCGTGATCCATCCGCCTTGGTCTCCCAAAGTGCTGGGATTATAGGTGTGAGCCACCACGTCCAGCCAATAAAAGCCAGTTTTAAAACTGAAAAAACAGCTTGGAAATTGAGGGCTGCGTTTTAACAGAGAGTATTTTCCAACATACGTGCAATCTAATGTAGTAGCACTGTACTCCTCACTTTAACAGACTATCTTTTATAATGGATGATTTTGTTTTAAAATGTGAGTAACAGCACACCAGGGGCTGTGACAGCATGATCATTTGTGTTAATATCTCTTTCTAATACTGTAGTACCATGTAAGCTGCATTTGGCTTCTGTGGTTTCACTTACCTACAGGTAATTCTGTCCTGAAAATATTAAATGAAAAGTCCACAGATAAACAATTGACAACTTTTAACTTGCGTGCTGTTCCGAATAGTGTGATGGGAGCTCCTGTCATCCTTCTCTACTCGGGCCCACCCAGGACGTGAATCATCTCTTTGCCCACAACATCTACCTGCCTACCTTACCCACTTGTTAGTCACTTAGCAGCCCTCTGGGTCGTCAGATCCACAATTGAGATATTGCGGTGTTTGTGTTCAAAGAACTCTTGTTTTACTTAAGAATGGCCCCAAAGTGCAAAAGTACAGACGCTGCAGTTCAAAACTGCCAAAGGGAAGCTGTGAAGTGTTCCTTTTGAGTAAAAAGGTAAAAGTTAATCATAGGGCATGTGTGTATAGAAAAAAAGGTAATCTATATTGGATTTAGTACTGTCTGTGGTTTCAGGCATCCACTGAAGATGCTGAAATGTATCCCCGACGGATAAGGAGGACTACTATATTCCGAATAGATTTTACAAGAAGAAAATTAATCATTCACAAAATATTTTAACCTTAGAATTTAAATGAACGTGTAAATTCTCTACAAGTTAAACACAAATATTGTCATAACCTATGGCCACTCTTATTTTTATGCTATCTAAGTAATGACTGGTATTGATTTGCTGAGGTTCAAATTTTGGATTCTAGTTTTTCTTAAACATGACTCATATTAATAAGAATATGTTCAACTCTGGTGTGCTTTATCAGTCAAAAATACAAATTAATTATGCAGAGAATATTATTTTCTTTTTTGAGATGGATTCTCCCTCTGTCGCCCAGGCTGAAGTGCAGTGGCACAATCTTGACTCACTGCAACCTCCCCCTCCTGGGTTCAAGACATTCCACTGCTTCAGCCTCCTGAGTAGCTGGGATTCAGGCACGCCTCACAAGGCCCGGCTAACTTTTCTATTTTTATAAAATGTAAAACCTGGGACCTGGTATAAGGCCTGGGTGTCTACCTGGGGCTTGATTGTAGCAGGGGCCTGAAGTTCTCCTAGCACCTGGTGTCCACCTGAGGCCTGGGTGTCAACCTGGGACCAGATGTCCAGCTGAGGCTTGAGTGTTTCTTGGTGCCTGAGGACTTCCTGGGCCCGGATGTCCACATGGGGCCTAGATGTGCACCTGGGGTCCAATATTCACCAGGAGCCAAGGTATCCACCTGGGGCCTGTGTCCACCCAGGACCTGATGTCCACTTAGAGTCAAGTGTCCACCTGAGACTCTATGTCCACCTGGGGCCTGGGTGTCCTTCAGGGGCCTGGTTTTGGCCTGGGACCTGGGCATTTACCTGGGGCCTCAGTGAACACTTGGGGCCTAATGTCCACTTGGATCTTCGTGTCCAGCTAGGGCCTCATGTCCACCAGGTTCCGAGGTATCCTCCTGAGGCCTGGTGTGTTACTGGGGCCTGATTTCTGCCTGGTTTCTACCTGGGGTGGAAACAACAGTATCCACCTGGTTACTGTTGTTTACCTGGGACCTGGTGTCCCCCTGGGGCCTATGTCCACCTTGAACTTGTTGATCCTCTGGGGCCTTGTGTCCACCTGTGCCCTGGGTGTCAGCTTGGTACCTGATGTCCACCTGGTGCCTCCACAGCCACCTGGGGCCTGGTGGCCCCTTGAAGCCTGGAGTCCTGGGTCTTCATGTCAACCTGGGGTATAGGTATCCACCTGGGTCCTGGGTGTCCACTTGGGGCCACATGTCCAGCTCTGGTCTGAGTGTCCCCATGGGGCCTGATACGCACCAGGGGCCTAGGCATTGACTTGGCGCCTGGTGTCCATGTGGAGCGTGCCATCCTATGAGGACTGATACTCACATGGGGCCTGGTATCCACTTCGGGCCTATTGTACTCCTGGAGCCTGAGTGTTTACCTGGCGTCTGATACCCCTCCTGTGCCTGCTGCCTACATAGGGCCTCATGTTCCCCTCGAGCCTGGATGTCCACCTGAGTCCTTGGTATCCTCTGTGGGATGACTGTCCACCTGTGACTTTGTGTCCAGCTGTGGCCTGGGTGTGAGCCTGGTGCTTGATGGACACCTTGAGTCCGTGTGCAACTGGGGCCTTGTGTCTATCTGGGGACTAGTGTCTACTTGGAGCTGATGTCTACATAGGGACTGTGTATTTATCTGGGGTCTGATATCCATCTGGGGCCTAATTTTCACCAGGGGCCTGGTATTCACCAGGGGCCTAGGTATCCACCTGGGGCCTGCTGTCCACCTGGGGCCTCCTATTCACCTTGGCCCTGATACTTACCTGAGGCCTGGACATCCACTTGGAGCCTGGAGTTCAAGTGGCGCCTGGTGTTCCACCAACATGCCTGATGTCCATCTGGGGCCAGGTTTCCACCTGGGGCCTGGTATGTACCTGGGGCCTTGTGTCCACCTGGGGCCTGGTATTTACCTGAGGCCCTGTGTCCACCTGGGGCCTGGTATTTACCTGAGGCATGGGCGTTCACCTGGGGCCTGATGTTTAGCTGGGGCCTGGTGTCCACCTGGGGCCTCCCAGCCAAACTGCAGCCTGATGTCCTCCTGGAGCCTGATGTCCATGCAGGAACTGGAGTCCCTCTGGGACCTGGTGTCCACCTGGGGCCTGGTGTCAACCTGGTGCCTTACGTGCAATGTCCACCATGAGTCCAGTGTCCACTTGGGGTCTGATGTTTTCCTGGGGCCTTTGTGTCCGCTCGGGCCTTATGTCCACCTGGAGGGGATGTGTCCCCATGCACTCACCCTCGTCCTGGGGAGAGTGGGTAGGGAGTTGCTCTATCCCTGCCCCTTGTCATCCGGGAACTGCTCCTCTTGCCCTCATGGTGGGAAGGCGTCATCTTGGCTCAGGCAGGTCTGGGTTTCAAACTGGGGCCTTATATTTACCTGCGGACTGCTGTCCACGTGGGGCCTGATGTCCACGTTAGGTGCTGGGTATTCACCTGGAGCTTTGTGTCCACTTGGGGTCAGAGTGTTCAGCTGGGGCCTGATGTTACCTACCATAGGCGTTGCACAGAAGACACACAGACTGGAAAGGAAGAAAGAACGGAAACGTGGGACCTACGTATGCAGTATAAGAAAAGTGAAAATAGCAACCAGGAAAGAACACAAAGAAAGTATGAGAAGGATGGTATGAAGAAGAAACAAACCAACCAAGGCCCAGTTTCCTAAGAAACATTGGAAACCACAGTGAAATGAAATGTCAGACGGAATCAAGCCATCTCTGGATTTTCACCTGTGGGCCACTCCGTGTCAGCGGGGATAGGAGTGACTGGGATTCTCCTAGATTGCTGTTAGGCCTAGAAATTGCTAAGGCTGCCCTGAAAACGTCCTACTCACTTTTCAGAAAATCACAACTTGGAAAGTACAGCAAAACCAAAGAAGGCTGAGAGCTTACCTTGGAGAAAGTTCTTCCAGTCCTGGGTGCCACTGGCTGGCTGGCTCTGTGGTTGCTTTGCCAGCAGGCAGCCTTCTTTCAGCCCCCTTTCTTATATCAGGTGGCAGTGGCTGATGACCCACGTGGCCTTTGCCCTTGAGGAGTGGCCCAGCAGGTTGACCTAGGCCTGGGGCAGCGGTGAGGGCAGCATTCTCTGGCACTGCCCTTTTCGCGCTGGCAGCAGGATGGGGCGAGGCTCCAGGGCCCCAATTCCAGCACCTGATTTGGAAGCCCC